TCCCCTTCACCACCACCCCCCTCTTCCCCTCCACAGACCAGGGCCCAGCCAGACCTTTGCCAAGTGCCAGTTTTCTGTGCTGTTTTCACAGGCTTCATTTGGCCGTAAGATCTGGAGGCATTTTAACTTTAAAAAATTACCACGCAGATATGATCAGAGAGGAATTCAGTCGCCCAAGAGTTTGCAAGGCCCCGGATGCTGTTCCAGGCAAAGCCGCACCCTTCCTGCGTGGCCAGAGCCGTCTGTCCTGGCTGGGGACAGGGCAGCGCAGGCCGGGGTGAGGAGGCCGGGGCTCGGCCCGGGAAGCGTGGAAGCGCGTTGCTCTCAGCTCTCGGGAGCATTTCTCCCCTCGGAGAACAGCGCGTGGATGTGGTTACTCACTGGTCCAGTCCCAGCCATGCAAATGTGTTTCCAAAATCAGTCACCCCTAAATCGTTCCACATGTCCTTAAAAATACGCGTGGAGCGGCCAGTGTAGCCGGGCCTCGCTCTCCGTCCACGGACGGCGGTGGAGGAGGTGGACAGCGTCTGTGCCGTGGCTGCCGTGGGAGCCCTTACTCTAAGGGGCACGGGGCGTTCACCGTGTCCTAACCCCGGCACAGAGAGCCAAGGGAACAGTGCGGAGGCACCGGCCGGCAGCCAAAAGAACCGAAGCCAGCCGTGACTCCTAAGGTCGAGTGGCTATCTGTGTAAAACGATGGAGAGATCTCAGGAAAGCTAGTTCCCTGGAAGTTCCTTCCTCCACCCCAGAGATCTCCGGCTTTGCCAACTTTCTCCTCATCACACTCAGCCCTGTGGTTCTCACCCTTGAAAGTTTCTTGGAGGTCGGCCGTTCCTGGTGACAGCCCTGGGTAGCTTGAGAGCATCTCTCCGCATGGGCTGCTCCCTGAGCCGCCTCCGCCCCAAACCTGTCAGGCTCCTCCTAAGAAGAGCCTAAGGATGTGGTTGGAACTTTCCTGGTTTTCTTTTCTCGTCAGCACCTTTGGTGTAGAGCCTGACACGGCTGCTCCTCCAGCCGGGGGGGGGGCACAGTGGGGTCCCAACAGAGGGGAGGGGAACCCCCCCCCCGCAATCCTAAGCCCCTCTGTGAAGTACCTCTTCACATCATTGTCTCCATTCTGCTGCGGGGGGGAAACGTGTGGATTGTTTACTCCTGCGTCCGGCGGGGCTGGGCCTCGGAGCCCCACCCTGGCGGGCCGTGCTGGTTAGACCCAGAGCTGCATTCTCGGGGTGCACCTGCACGGGATGACGCATCTGTGACCAGAGAGAGATGTGGGGCAGCTGGCTCGTCATCCGGGGAAACAGCCACGTGCTCGGAGAGAACTGGCAGTCTGTATTCCCGAGTCCGCCATTCCTTGGCTGATAGATGGACGCGGCGTGGAGTGAGGCGGGCGGTGGGAAAGGAAGCCGTCAGGCAGAGGGAGGCCCGCGTCACTGCCGCCATCTCTCCCGCAGGCCGTGGGCTGCGACCGGCAGCTGGGCAGCGGGGCCAAGGAGGACAACTGTGGCGTCTGCGCGGGCGACGGCTCCACCTGCAGGCTGGTCCGGGGCCAGGCCAAGTCCCACCTGTCTCCCGAGAAAAGTAGGTGTGGGCACGGGGTCCTGCGGGGTGGCGGGACGTTCCGGACGGCCCCGGGCTGGCAGCCTCCTCCCGCTGGGCCCGAGTCTCTCTGGTCAGTTCCCTAAAAGCCAGATTTCTCCCAGAGCGCGGGGGATGACCACCGCAGAACCCATGATCGCTACTGGAAAGCATCTGCCCCTCTCCTCCGTGGTTTTTGTTTTGTTGTTTTAACGGGCCGGGTCCTCTGTGGGGCAGAACCGGGAGCAGGGAATCCACACGCAAACGCGCGATGCATGAACACACACTCGGCGTGCAGGGAGCTGCGTGAGGCAGGCATGGAGGTCAGGGCGGCTGGGGAGAGCTGGAGAGTGGCAGGTCCGGGCCAGGGGCCGGGCAGCCAGCCCCACGCCAGCCTCGGGCGGGTGTTACTTGTTCTTGTTTGGGGAAAGAAACGCACGGAAAGGAGGTGCACGCCACAGGTAAGGCCCCCTCTCCCTGGACCTGCTTCTCCCCAGCATCTTGGTCCCCGTATCCATTCCCCGGCCCCTTTCTGTGCCCTTGGATGGCAGTTGGGAGGATTTTGTGTGTGGCTGGATGGTGGGCCTGAGACAAAGCAGCGAATGTGTGTACGTAAAGATGACTGCAGGCGAGTCTGTCCACAGGGAGGGTTTGGATGGTAAGAAAGCCAATGGTGGTTTTCTGAGCAGAACGGTGTCAAGGCATTCAACCGGGGAGAGGTTCTGAACTCAACCCGGGGGGAGCAGAAGGAGTCCATGGGAACACACGGAACGGAGCGGGGAACAGAGTCAGAGGAGCCTCGGGGTCGAGCGGCTTGAAGAAGGGACAGGCGGCCGAGGGCTGTGTTCGCACAGCCTGCACGGGCCCCAAATCCTCACGCTGACAATCTCAGCCTTGCGTGGATGCCTGCCTGCATCGCCGCCTCGGGTCTCCGGCTGGAGCGGGAGCTGCCGAGCGCGGGGTACACAGCCGGGTCCCCTCAGCAGGAGCCACGAGAGGGGCCCGCGGAGCCAGGGCGGATCCCAGGGACGTTTCGTGGAGTCCTTGGCCGGCGTGTGTGGAGTGGGAGTGTGGGGGGCCGTGTGTCCCGGTGCCTTGCTGGCGGTCCGGCCTTCTCTGCCCTCTCTTCTGTCTGTGCCCTGTTCTCACTGAGGTTTTTTGGTCAGCTTTGGATTATAGACCCGCTGGGAATCTATCGAGAGCGAGGGATTTCTTTCCAGGAAAACATGTGTTGTGCTGAAGAGCTTCTAATGTTTCCGTCCCCTGTGTGGAGGGTTCTGGGGCTCGCAGTGGCTGTTTAGGGTGCTCCAGGCGTGGCGCCCCTGGAGTGGTGGACGTTTTTAAATAAAGTCTGCAGAGGATGACCAGCCAGGCCCGAGGAGGCGGGGGGGGGGGGGCGCGGCCGGCAGGCGCCGGAGCACCTCGCTTCTGCACCCACATCCGGCTGAAGCGACTGAGTCCTGTGTGAGAGCAGGGGACGCCCAGCCCGACCCCCTTACGGTCCCACGAAGTCTGTTAAGCTCAGCGCTGGCCAGCCCCGGCCGGTTTTGGCTGGGGTTCTCCCCAGCCATATGGAAGCACTTCTCCATCAGCAGGCTGTGTGTGAAAGAAACGTGGGAAACGGAGCCACGATTCCCAAGCGCACGGTGCTGGGCCCGAGGGGGCCACGCAGCACCCACGTCCACGTCCACGCCCGCCTCGGCCAAGCGGCGTCCCCCAGGCTCTCCTAGGTCAGGACGGGCACCAGATGCTACTGGCAGGGCCCAGCCCGAAGGACGGCCCAAGGTCGCACGCCGGGATGAGGTTTCCGTCCTGCAGTCAGGGAGACCTTGGGTGGAAGAGCCTGCAGCCAGAGCCCGAGCCAGGAGAGAATGAGACCGGAGCCCAGATCCAGATGCTGCTTCCTGTTCCGAGGGAGGGGGGAGGGGGAGAGGGCCCGAGGGACCGGCTCACGCCCACAGGAAAGCTCTGCCGTCGGAAAAGCACTGGAGGCCGCTCAGGCTTCCATGAGAGGTTCCGGCGAGCCTCAGTATAAAGCCAAGCTCTTGGTCTAACGTCTCGGACGGTGCTGCCCGGGCAAACCACAGTGGCGTCCGTCTGCGGGGCACTCAGTGCTGATACACGTGCCGCCAAGGGAGGCGTGAGCGGCCCGTGGTGTCTTGGTGGTGCTTAGAGATGGAGCTGAGAGTCTGGGCTTTCCCCTCCGCGCAGCGTCCATCCCCGCACAGGGCTGCCGTCCACTGGTACACAGGCCAAACTGGGGCCGGCCCGTTCCGTCGGCGTCCAGGCCGCCCGCCCGGAACCCCACCCACAGTCCCCTGGGCTCTTTAGAAAGAGGATCCTAGCTCCCAGCCCGCGGTTCTCGGGGCCCACTGCTCCCCACACACGCGTTTCCCCAAAAGCAGTCGATAGATTTACTTTCCTCCACGCCGGGGAAGAAGGCGTCAGGCAGGGTGGATTCTTCACGGAGTGGTTTCCCTCCCTCCTGCCGCCTCCCACCACCTCCCCTGCCTCCCCCTCCCCCTCCCACCGAGGTCCTGCTCACTAGAATTGGTACAGGAACATGCACGCCAGAGCCCTGCTCGGAAGGGGCTGTGTACTTCCGTTAACTCAGCACAGCAGGGAAGAGCGGCCCTGGGACGCGGCCGAGGGTGTGGGGCTGGGCCCTGCACAGCCGTGGCCGTGGGACTCGGCCGAGGGCGTGGGGCTGGGCCCTGCACGACCCTGGGACGCCACTGAGGGCGTGGGGCTGGGCCCTGCACGGCCGTGGGACTCCGCCGAGGGCGTGGGGCTGGGCCCTGCACGACCCTGGGACGCCACTGAGGGCGTGGGGCTGGGCCCTGCACGGCCGTGGGACGCCGCCGAGGGCGTGGGGCTGGGCCCTGCACGCTCCTAGTTTGCTGTCTTCTGCTGTGTGTGGTGTGTGGTGTGAGGTGTGTGGTGTGAGGTGTGTGGTGTGTGGTGTGTGGTGTGTGGTGTGTGGTGTTTGGTGTGTCGTGTGTGGTGTGTGGTGTGAGGTGTGTGGTGTGTGGTGTGAGGTGGGTCGTGTGTGGTGTGAGGTGTGTGGTGTGAGGTGGGTCGTGTGTGGTGTGTGGTGTGTGGTGTGAGGTGTGTGGTGTGTGGTGTGAGGTGTGTGGTGTGAGGTGGGTCGTGTGTGGTGTGTGGTGTGTGGTGTGTGGTGTGAGGTGTGTGGTGTGAGGTGTGTGGTGTGTGGTGTGTGGTGGGTCGTGTGTCGTGTGTCGTGTGTGGTGTGTGGTGTGTGGTGTG